TTTTTTTTTTTTTGAGGTTTTTACGGCACTAGTGGCTCGTTTTTTTTTCTGATAAAGCAGGCTGACAGGAAAGGAGGAATGAGTGAGGTGGAGAGACATGCAAAAAAGGACCACAGGTCGCAGTCAAACCTGGAACTAAGACCTCTGTAAATAGGTAGTGCACGCTCATCACTGTAAAATGCATAGACATACATGTAAGAGTAGAGCCCGCATTGGCTGTTGCGGCGGAGAAATTACGGACGCCATCTTGGGGACGTCGACCTGCTCTAAGCCCTAATGCTACGTTCACACCGCACATGATTGAAACAGCAGAGGCAGCTGGTTTACATTCAAAGTCAGTGGTTGATGGTCATCAAGGCGCAGCGAAAGGTCCTGCAGCATCTTGAGCAGCAAGAGCAGTGCATCTTGATAGATCTGAGCAGCCGCAGCACTTCATGAACTGAGCATCATAGGTGCATTATTCGCTAAAGAAACAGCAGCTGGAGTTGGTAAAGTTGAACTTTTGCTGCTCAACGCACCACATCAACCAATCAGAGAAGCTCATCTAAGAGCTGGCAGGGAGACGGACACAGCACTGCTGATCCAGATCACTATGATCACTCCTCTGAAACAGTTTATGAATGCCTAAATTAACTTAAAATGTTGAAACCTGCCGGCAAAATATGTTTGCTTGTGTGATTCTGGTGCCTGTAGTTTGTATCACACACGCACCTAAAAAAGCTAACACCTACTTCCAGCCGTGATGAACTGTAGCAGAAACCTGTCTTACAACAAATTAAAGGGCAGAACAATGAAACTACTGGAGTAAAAAACAAACAATTTGGCTCATTTTGTTTATCGTCTTCTGTGTCAAATGTGTGCTGGTCCAGTCCTGTATGAATTTAAATTTACTAAAGTTGGGTTATTGTTTCCAACTGGCTTTCAAGAGTTAGACTTTCAAATTTAAAGTAAAACAGTAATAATAAATCAAAGACTATAAAACATATGTGAAAAAGTCAAGAGCAATGCTTTTTGAAGTGTTTAAAAACAAGGTTTTTGAATACCACCATACCACCACCGACATGTTAAACCATCAATACAATGAAACTAGGACCTTGTCATTTTGTTTTGCCGTGGCTTAAAAAAGAAAGTAAAAAATTAAAATATAAGCTGGATAAAAAATGTTACATTTCAACTATTAAAGTTTATTGTTTAAATCATACTGTGGTCCCCCTTTTTGAGAATTCTTCATGATAGTTCTTGTAAAAGTGCCTTAGAAAAAAAAAAAAACATTGACGGTTCTATAAAATCTTAAATCTACTGTTGATAGTGTAAAAGTGCTTTTTTGTTTTCAGGATTTTTGTAGTACCGGTAAATACTCTAATATTATCCCAGAATCTATTAAAAAGACAACTGGAATCTAAATGATCCCAACTGGTTTGTATTCATACCTACAGAAGTCCAGGAGCCTTATGCTGTGGTGGTGCTCTTGGAGAAAGACTTGATTGTGGTGGATCTCACACAGAGCAAGTAGGTGTTTCACATACCCTCCCAAACACCACCCACCCCCACACTCACACACACAAACACTTGCTGCGAGGTGAGACTGATGTGAAATCACCAAGCGAGACCTCTGAGCTTCTCTTTTTCTCTTTTTGACAAGCGACATCATAATGCATTACCACTGAGGAAAGGCAAGTCTACACCTTCAGGATACCAATAGAAACCCTTTTTGTCACAGTTTTCACCCAAAGATAAAATTATTTTTACATGTAAAATTTAACCTGAGTCTCAATTTTAAATTAATTAAAGGACATATCATTAATACTTTCAGAGAGGAAAATCTGTATAAATTTGTATATGAAAATGTTTTTTTGTTTTTTTTAGAAGATTTCTCACTTCAGTTGAAACTCTGTCTTGCAGATTTCTATTTATTTTTTTTTTTATTAATATTTGTCCTAATCTGGTGTTATAATCCAATCACTGCTTTCATGGTGCAACTTCCACCATCTTAGTTAATTAACCTCCAAAGGGTGAAATAAAGATAGAAAATGCTGATGAAAATAAATTAAGAGATAAACACCTTAGCCCCCAGAGTATGTTTGAATAGTGGATCAACACTTCAGTTCAAATCAACTTGCTCTGAAAATTAGATTTGATAATTACAGCAGTCAGATATTAATGTCTCCTGATGGCTGTACTGTTAGTTCACCCAGATTGTATTTTGTATTCTCATTGATCAGCAGTAAGTTGTGTTGAAGCTGACACAGAGTTAATACATGTCTGCTGTTCAATAACTAAATTAAATTTTCACTGTTGGTGTGTTTTGCTGTCCGAGCCTTTTTTGCTGACACATTGTAAAGTTAATATTTTAGTAATATTTGACATACTGTTAGGCCATTTTAACATTATTTCTATTATTAGATAGAATTATAAGTACATAGTGCTTTATATACATTTGTATTGTTAACAATGTACTTTTACAGCTTAAAATTAAAGTAGCTTTTAGAAAGAAAAATACACTTTTGATTTTGCAACACTTTCTGCTTTATGTGTTATTGTTCTTATATCCTGGTTTGATGCTTTTCAATTGTTGTGTCTTACAGCTATCCTGTGTTTGAGAACCCATATCCCATGGACATCCACGAGTCTCCTGTAACCTGCACGGGTTATTTTGCAGATTGTCCACCAGACATTATCCCGATTCTCTACTCAATAGGAGCGAAACACAAGAAGACCGGCTACAGTCAAAAGGTCCATTTAATACTGAAAACAAATAATTAAGAAAGAGTTCTGCGCTTCTTTGTTTTTTTTTTTTTTTGCTTTTACGACCTTTTTAAGCAATATAAAAGCATTCAAAGGAGAATCCCTTACAGTCATGTGTGGCTATTATTTATATAGTGGCTAACAATTATACAGTATATGTTAGGGGCGGCGGTGTCTTACACCTTATTTATTGAATTCAAATGTTAAACTGTCTTTAGGATCTTTGCAAATAGTTTTTTTTCTCAACACATTTCTGTGTGTATTCCCTGGAAAACGTAAATCCTTACAAACTCTGACATTTCTAAAAGGCTGCAAATATTCACATATCAACTCGTTAAACAACAAATAGATGCTAGAAGCTCAATAGAAAAAATAGCTTTTCTTTTAACTGCTAAAGAGTGACTATTTAAAACTAGCATCCTGGACTATAGGTATGCATCTCCTGCAATAGGTATGCATCTACTGCAAATGGGATTTGATTTTTAGTTTCTTACTCGTCTTTTTCTTCATCCATTGTAATCAAGTAAGCAACTCTTTTAATACTTAAACAGATCACTTTGAATGTCTTTTCCTCACAGCTTCCACATTAAAGATTGAATGGTTCAGTAACTGAACAATAAACAGGATTTTTTTAAGGCACAAGAGGATTTATAAGAGCATCTGTAATTATTGTGCGGGATAAATTAAAATATTATTTATTTGTCCACTTGTTTTTTATTCAGCTTACTGGAATATTTATCTTTTTTGCCATCCAGATAAAACATTCTCAGAGATGTCCTTAATGTTCGGCTGCAATATGTAGAGATGGGTAGATCGATCCTAGAATCCATAATAACAATACCAAAACTGGTAATGATATTAAACTATAGTCCAGTGAAAAGACCAATAATTTTTTTGTCTCTTCTGCACGCTCTACTGCTGCAGATTCACCAAAGTCTTTTTTTTTTTTTAGATAAAAATGTTTTAACATGCTTGAAATTGCTTTAAACTTAATTTGTTATTTTTCCGTTGTTCAACTATCATAAAATATTAAAGTAAAAAATCACAAAAAAAAAACACCAAAAGATGAATACATTCATGATACATAAAACTTTAATTAAATAAAAGTATCAATATCAGTACCAGCGATACTGACTCATGGTATCTTACTTACTTAATCGCATCGATCAAAATAGGAATTATGCTGCAAATTCCTGGAACTGCCCACCTCTAGCTATTAGGACTAAGGCGGACCTAATGGAGAGAACATGCTTTGGAACAATTCGGTTTTTTTGTCTGTGTATTCAGACTTTTATAAGAAAATCTGTTACATTCCTACATAAGACAAATTATTTAACCCCATAGAACAATTTTCATAGAAACCTTATTAGTGCATTTCATTATCATTATGATCCGTTTAGTTTTAAATCAAACCCAGTTTTGGATTATGGAGTGAAATCATGCATGTCTGTCAAAAGTTATGGGAGTTTGAAATGATTTTCAAAAAAGATTTTACAAACACTGGGGTCAACAATGAGAATATGTTGTAATTAGAATTTAAAATGATGTTTTCTCTCTTAAGGAGTGGCCAGTTGGTGGTGGAACATGGACATTAGGCTCCCACACTTATTCAGAAATCATCATCACAGGGTAAGTCTGACATTTTGACAGAAATGGAAGAAAAAAGAACATCTGAGGGATTTCCGCTTGCCCTTCACACAACTTATTATGTATATGTAATAATGTTTCACTTATTTCACTAGTGTGACCTGAGTCTATTCCAGGCTAAGGAGAACCGGTGTCTTTTATGGGGCTGACAGACATGTTAACTTATTCTCACACACAGGGTGTGCAATAGCTGAGTTGAGTCTCTGATGCCAATGTGGAGAGCATTTTCTTAAGAGCCAGTGTGAAAATTTTAAAAATCTCAGATCATAACGAAGGTTTTTTCAGAGGAACCTAAGATTTGAATTTGTTCTTCTCAGTTAAGGCAATATGAATGGCTTTACTGCAGATTTAAAGACAGTTGCAACTTCTAAAATAAGAACAAATAACTAATTAAAGAAAGGTAAATGCTTTCCGTTATGTTGTAGTGCTCTGCTTAAAAGATAAAAAAAATTAACTGTTTTTTTACTTGCTTTTTTGTTGTTGTTTAGACATGCTGATGGGTCAATAAAGTTTTGGGATGCATCTGCATGTAAGTCGCTTCTCTAATAATTTCCTTGTCATTTTAGAAACAACTCTGAAATATTGATTTGAGATCATCTCAGGTTTTCTGTGACACATCAAGATCCAATAAACAATATGAGATCCCCGATGAGTCACTTCCATTTTGCCACAGGCTTGAAAGAGAGGACACCAAAGCAAATTAATAGCCCTCTCATGATAGGGAAAGCTGCACAGCTAATTAAGCAGGTTGCCTAGAGTTATATCAAAGCTATTACCAGAAAGAGACATAAAATAGCACATGAAAACGAGGTCTCGCCAAAGAAAAAAGAAAACCAGTGTGTTCTAATTTGTTTTAAAAGTCACGCTACAGATGTTGTACAAGCTAAAGACCTCCAAAGTGTTCGAGAAGCCAAAGCCAGGTGATGGTCGGGCTGCTGAGATGGGGGAGGACGATCCTTTTGCTGTCCAGATGGTTAGCTGGTGCCCTCATAGTCGCATCTTCTGTGTGGTCGGCATCTCGGCACACATTATTCTGTATCGCTTCAGTAAATATGAAGCCAACACTCAGACAGTGGTGAGTAAAAATAAGAACCTGGTAAGGAAGATTGCAAACTGACTATCTGATGTCCTGCAGATGTTTGCAGTTTTTAAGCCATTTCTGCATTTTGAAAATAATAGATTGAATAAAACTTGTAGTTATAGTTATGGTTCTGTGGACTCATTCATATTTCTGCATTTCTGTCATTTCTAGTCCTTAGAAGTGCGTTTGCAGTGTGAACCGGAGGATATTATTACTCCATCTGAGAATGAAAACAATCCCTGCTTCTCAGAGCCCACATCTCACTCACCCCAAACCCACTACCAACATCCTGTTAGCCCTGGAAGCAGAACACCCGACGGAGCTAAAGACAGCGTCCCCTCTCTCAAGTAAGCTTGTGGTTCAAACAGAATACAAAACATAATTCCTGATAAGTAAGGAAATACTGACATTTACATACAGAAACATTAAGTGAAAAAAAATTAAATAAAAACAACTCAGAGGCAGAAATAATCAGTAGGAGTTGTGTGTAATTCCTTTTAATCTTTCTGTTCTCTGTGGCAAAAACACTTGCTTCTCTCCCTTAAATCTGTTTTAGAGTGAAGGAAAAAATGGTTCGCGTCCCTCCTGGCTATCAGTCAGACTTGGTCATCCAGCTGCTGTGGGTAGACGGTGAGCCACCACAGCAAATCACCAGCCTGGACATCAATTCTGCATATGGCTTGTAAGTTCTCAGACAGATTATGTCAAACCACATCAGTCAGTCAGTCAGTATGTGAACCTGGTTATCTGATACACATGTTTGAATGTTTAAACTGAAATTGAATTAACAAACTTAAACTACATAACAAAAACAGATTTTTTTTTTCAATACACCAAAATACATTTTCAGAGCAAATAAATGATTCTTTAAACTATTTAACTCTGCATCAAAGGAATATATCTAAATTTGTTTTTTTAATTAGATAAATACAGATTCAGTCAGGATAGTTCAATTTCATTTTCTGATTGCACAAGTTTCTGCACACATTACACTGGGATAAGTGTCCTGAACTATCCAAAACCTGAAAAAATTAGAGAAATCTTTCCAGAAAAACAACAGCTAAATATATTTACTTATTTTTCTGTGTCTGTGTGGAAAAAGGACCCTTTTAAGGAAAATATATACAGTACTTTTAAATTTGGCTTTCATGCTTGACCCATTGTGAATCAGAGAAAAATTCACAATACATCAAATCCTTTGCATCCAATTCTTCTGATTAACAAAAACTAATGTGTGGTTGTTTTGTCCTGAAAAAATAATCGCTCAAAGTAATCAGTAAAAGCTGCTTATTGATCACATGTATGCCCTAAGCGACTGTCAGTGAACTGAACTGTATCTTTCAAGGTGTTAATATTTTGCAAACGTTCAGTCAGAATAATTCTAAAGTCATGTAGGTGAACACCACCTTCATCTATATTTTTCCTTTTTTATAGGAAAAAAGGAGAAAATCCTTAAGGTGCAGCACATAGTCTACTTTTCAGGGGCTGACATAAAACAATTGCATATTCCATTTCTAATTCCATTCAGGGAAAGTTTAACTATGACTAAATCCTAAACCATTTATAAATATATTCTCTTTTAAACCACACATGGTGTTGAATATGCATAGCTCTGCCCATCTGTCTTTTAGCTTCTGTGTTTCCTTTGGGCTGGCTTTGTTACATCTAAACAGGTTTTTATGAATTTGGGTTTTAGAAGGTGTTTGGGGTTTCAAATGGCATTAAATATACATAATCAGAGGCAGGAAGCACATTTGAACATACAGGAACTGTATGTCAAGCAATAACGAAACAATGTTAATTTTGCAGCACACTAAGAAACACTAAATATAAGACTAGATGTAAAAAAAAAATGGCATGTTATGGTGCAAATTAATTAAATTCTCTTTAAAAAAAAATGCTTTTTCATATAATTTGAACAATTTTTAATCATAGAAAAGAAACATATTTTTAAACACTGCTGTAGTAGGGAATAGAAAATGTGAACGTGTTTATGCAGCAGTAGCACACCTCCTTTCTTTTTTCCTTTTAAGAATACTAAATAGCTTTTCTTTGAAAAGAGCCTCGCTTCTCAAAAACCAATAAAGTCACAGCTTGGTTTAAAAAGCTCAGTGTGGTTCAAGGCCAATGCATTTTTTGAAATTTCTCATTTAAAGCTTTCCACAATTTGAACATGGCCACTGGATATTGATTTATTTTGTTGTCTCTAATTGACTTTTCTATGAATATAAACTCTTAAATAAAAAAAAAAAAAGAGAGAATTAAATATATTTTGTTGATATTACTTAGCTTTCAGTGCAGAGGAAAAGTAGTCAACTGGATATATAACTACAACAACTGTAGCTTATAAAAACTGTTACATAATTAATTGTACAGACTGTATAGCCAAGGGTATAAAACATTGAATAAAATAATGATTATCCCTCCATCAGCTAACATATATGAAGAAATGCCTTAGGACATTAAGTAGTGCTGCTATTGGTTCAATTTCAATGAAACTGATTCTGTTGTTAATTTTAAACATTTATTAGCTGTTTTTTAAGTATTATTCTGTTAACAGTTGCTATTTGATTTTATTGTATATATGTGTACAGCATTAAGTCACAGATAATGTCCTCTCAGGGTCCTTTATAGGGCAAACAGATCTTATTTATTTTCAATATATACAATCAAATTAAATTCTATTTAATAATAATAGAACTTTATTAATCTCACACTAGATAAATTTACCTCCTACTTTAACCCATCCCCTTGGGGAGCAGTGGGCTGCCACTGTGCTGCGCCAGGGAGCAGTGTGGGGTTAAGGGTCTTTGCTTAAGGGGCCCAGAGTGCAGGCTGTGGGAGTGGGGCTTGGACTCAGGACCTCTGGCACCCAAGCGCAACCACTCCCTCTGATATATTTAAACTAAAATGAAATCTCTTTTGTTATGATCGTACTGTTAGGTTAAACTTAAATCAAATAATATTTGATTTAATGGTGTTATGTTACATTGCAGACATTTTTTTTTTTTTATTTATATAATGCCAGTTGGGGAAAACTGATCTATCTAGAGAAGCCCATTGATCGCTTGATTTGCATCAGCCCCTTATCCTGAACAAGCATACTGTATTGTGAAAGTGAAGAGCTAGTCTTGAACCACACTCAGTCATAGTGGCTATTTCCTCAGCTATTTAAAAATTGACTGACATAAACATCCAGAACGAAATCCACTCAATTAACTAAAAAAAGAGACTCTGAAACACAGAAGCTTTACTTTAATAAAGTATGAAACGTGTCACACAAAATTAAACAAAAATGTCTTGTGCTTCAAGTGCTGAAGGTTTTTCATACGGGATGATTTAAGGCTATCAAGTTCCTCTTGATCAATCATACTGTACCTCAAGAGCCAGGAGGAAACAGCTGACTCTGGATGTTCTGGGAAACGTGGCATTAATATTGAAATCACAGCAGCATCAGCAGTGTAAGATAAAGACAGGCTTTTGTTGTATGTAATTGCATCAAAATTTCAGAGTTCATTTAACAATTTTTTAAGAGCTTGTGTTTCACCTTCTATATTAAAGAGAGAAACCTTGTGCAAAAGATTGCATATGTTTTTTGTAACTTTTTTTTGCTTCTTTCCTGTATGTTTGTGTATCCAGGTTGGCGTTTGGGAATTGTAACGGGCTTGCGGTGGTTGACTACTTACAAAAAACAGTTATATTGTGTATTTCAACACTGGATCTATACGGAGCCACCGACCCCTACCAACGCCTTACCCGTTCCCCCCGTAGGAACCGGCAGTCCACCTCAGGTAGCACACAAAAGCATATCTGCCTTGCTACATAAACCTGCCCACTGATTCACTAACCAAGCACCTAAACAACAAAGTGTCAACAACACTGCTCTATCTTTCTGACTCAATCCTCTCTTCTGATTTTTTTCCTCTGTTGCTTTTCCTTTTCACATCTGCCTCAAAGTACTCTATTTCCATTTTTAAAAGTATGCAAATCTGACCCGTTTTTAGATGAATAATTAAAAAAAAACATTAGATCAGTAGTTTTCCTTTATTACCCATAAATACCATATGTTGTAAGTCTAAATAGTAGTGAATGAAGTAGAAAGGAGTGCTGCTTGCCTTGTCCTAACCTTTTGGTTTCTTTCAAGTTAATATCCGTTTCCATTATATAAATATTTTTAAAAATGAGTTAAAGATGTCCTCATCAGAATGTTGAATTTTTCTTTGTTTTCTGTTACTGAGACAGGAATTTGCAACTACATAGTTAATGTGCAAAATGACATAGGAATTAAGGAAATCAGATTTTTTTTTTTTTTCGGTAATTCAGTTTTCTATGTGCAAAACATATAAATCAAATACATCGTTTTTAAGCTCTGTATTTTATAATTCATTTACACATACGTCTTTAAGCGTGAAGTAATTAAAAAGTAAATTTAACACCCATTTAAAGATCCCAATTTTCGTAAGGTAGGCTATGCATAATCTAATTATTGACAATTAAATCTGATTAAATATACAGTAAAAAGCACTACATTTACAGTATTGCCCTGTCCTACATTGGTATTGAGATTATACATTTTTACGTTAGAGATGTATACATTCAACAAATTACTAACTACGTTTAGAAAGCTACAATATTGTTCCAACAATGGGCCACTTAAATGCAACATGGGTTTTTCATTCCTTTAGAGTATACTTCTACAAAGAACTACTAAGCTAGACTAACAATAGCATGTTTTGGCTCTGTTTTGGTTTTAATAGTTGGTCATTTAACTCATATTTCATTATGGTTCTAAATACGGTCTTTGTTTTACTTTTAGAACAAGATGTAATTCTGTAAACTTCTTATTTACAAAAATCGTAAAATGTATGAAGAATTATCTTAGCTCCCTTCTACATGCTGTATATTTATATATATCTATATATATATATAGATATATATACGCAAAAGGTTGAAAACCACTCAAAAAGGTAGAGCAAAACTCAGAGTTTTAGTCCTTTTATACAGTTAAGCTAACGTTTGGCTTTCAAAAGAATGTAGTATGGCTAACTGGGGTGTCAGCAGAATAATCTACATGCAAAACGCCAGAGGATTTTAAAGTATCACAATTTTCCACAAAAAAGTAAAAACACTTTACTTGTTATGACATAAAACAACCTCTATTTAAAAAAAATATTTTTTACCCCTTTTCTTCTTTCTTTTCATAAACCACCACAACAAACAGAAACACTTACCATTATGTTATGATATGCATGTGAACAAGTCATGTGTCATCTAACATTGACATGTAATATGCATGTTGTCTTTTGGTTTCTCTGTTTGCTCTGTTTTAAGTCCTGCTTGAGCATAGATATGCAGTCTGAAGCCACAGAGGTCTTCTTGTACTCCCTTACCCCATTTTCCCTTTTCTCTGCTTTTTACTTTCGGCTGTCGATGGCCTCTGAAACATATTATATTTATCTATATACCCTAATATGCTGTAGTTATTATCAATGCCAACGGTGAGGTTGGAAAGATCTGTAATAAATTAGAAGGAATTGTGCATCGGACAATATACAGAAAAGCTGAGTTGATTTTTGAAGTGTTAGGATCATGACGTTTAAAATTTGTAGTCTTCTTCACAGCTTGTAGGGTTATAAAAATTAGAGAAAAGCAAACAAAAAACTTTAGATTGTGAGTTCCAAAGGTGTAAGTAATAGATTCAATTATTTTTCTATATAGAGATCATTAGGAAGGGAATATTAATTGAATTTATCAATCAAACAATATGTTCCTCTAGCTAATATGTCTTTATGAAAGTCATGTTCTGTCTTTCACAGCACATTTTTAGCTGTTATCACCACTCATCCATATCTGTAAACTACACTGTGTGTATAGTTATAATGCAAATGGAAATTCTGACATATTAAGATGTTTTTACAAATTTTAATGCTTTTTGAGTTAAGACATGGCCAGGCACCAGATTCTCACAAAGTGTTTACCTTTAGTGAAACTGCTGGTAATCACATACTGTAAGAACTTTACATAACACATAATAACTTGATCAAATTCCTGGTATTTGAAACAGAACGTCTTGATTTTCCAGCTGCTGATAATTAAAAAAACATGTTGGTTTCTGGGCCTTCATGTTTCTTGCTAAAACTAATCACTGCCATGTTGCATTTTATGCATATAATTACAAACATTGGCTGGTAACATGAAGTAGGCAATAATACTCGAAACAGTGAAATTGTCATGATCGAAAAGAACAGATAAGAAATAAGGTTGTAAAGCTTTTCAAGACTTGAAGACTTAGGAGAATCACCATGAGAACCATTATCCATTAACAGCGATCTAAATATAATCAATCTTTATCCTTGGAGGGAGTCTTCCAAACAACATTTAAAAAAGACAAAAGTTCACTTAAGATATTATCTGAGACAGACCTTTACTGTACTTCTTTAAGTGAATGTCCATGTTACAAGAAAAAAAGACTGGGCAAAGATGGCATCATCATTAAGCTTTAATGTCAAAACCACAGCATTCCAGGAAAACTCAAAAAGGGTCGTACCACATTTGCCTAAGATAACATCTTGATGTTTCTTATGAATCTTGGTAAAATAGTCATGAGAACTGAAAGTACAGCTTGTTCAAAAAAGCTGTACTTTCATTTCTTAGGACTATTTTACTGAGATATTGCTATCACCATGTCAAACATGGTGATAGCAATGTGATAATCTGTGTTTTCATTTTGGTTCCAGGACAATATGTGGAACCATAAATCTGTACCAGAAAAACCTAATCAAGAATCTGACTTTTCATGTATGGTAGAAAAATGACTCAAAGCACACCAACTAGTCCTCTCATTTGTGTTTTAAAAAAGACATGATGCTCTTGTCAATGTCTGCTCTTTGATTGAGAGGCTAAGGGAATAACTAAAGTTAGTTATTCACAAATTTTTGATGGCAGTTGTGACAACAGATGGCACAACAGCCAGTGGGTTTTATGAGTCATTTACTTAGTCACTTACAACTTTTGTTGTGTCATTTTCCTCTTAAATAGAAGGAAATCTTTAATTGAATTTTTTATTTACTCATATTTAATCTTTCTGATATTAAAACAAAATTTTAATTATATTCAACATTTCAGATAGACATATGCTTTTAAACCCTTCAATTTAAACCATTGAGATGTAGTCTATATAAAGTAGAACTGCAAAGCTTTAGTCTGAATTCCTCATAATTGTAGCTTCAACAACCACTATCTTACCCCCTTTCTGAGGTATGTCCTATACCTCTTTCCCACTGGCCAAAAAAAACTGTTTAAACAAACAATTAGCTTTTAGTGGCAGTGGAAACAACTCACTGACCTGCGTTGACCCGGGTCAAACGACTCAGTTAAAATCAACTTGAAACAGATCTGCTCCAACTGGCATTTGGTGGGAACATTAGACCTGGGTTGACCCGCTAATTTACATAATACCACTGAGCACAACTAACATATGTCGCAAGATGGCGGCAATGGTGTCTGATTAACAAGTCAAAACAATTGGGATTGCATTCAACAAACCTTAAGCAGCACTGATAAGAGGAATTTAGACGGACAAAAGAGCCAAGCAATAAAGCAAACTTACTACTTCCTGGCTCCCTTCCATGTTGCTCTCCATTGTTTACTTTCCTGATTTCTGTCCCACTGATGACATCAACACTAACCCAGCCTAATGCCATCACCAGACATACAGCAGGGGGGGGGGGACGGAGAGCCCACACATCTTTCAAGGGGTAAGACCCAGTTTTTTTGCCAATGGGAAAGGAGCCAAATGCCTAATGTTAGTTCGACCCATATTATAAAAAAACTGCATTAACTTGCTGATTTCTGTGGGAAAGAGGCTTAGAGGAACTCATTTTGGTATCTTTAAAGTGCACAAAGCACTTTACACCCTGCCCCTCACAAGGTTGCAGAGCGGTCAACTTCAACTTTGTTCAGCCTTTTTTTCTTTTCTGTTTGACAGCATAAATAACATTATTTAGTTTTATTTGCAGTTTACCATTTTGATGTGTCCATCATTACCATAGCCGGTAGGAACTACTGTAACCCCTCAATTATACAGTCTTGTCAAATCCTATTTGATATTGGTGGAGGTTGCTGAAGAACTCATCCTTCAAGTGCAATGTGCTGACAAAGAGAAGTTATGAAGCATTTGATTTATATTGGCACCCCATGTCATATTTTGTGGATGCACGTATTCTCTGTTGTTTATACGTGGACTAAATTTAAACACCTATAAACTGCTTAAAATCTTTCTTTAATTTATGCTTTTTTTATCATTATTTCCTCTATATTCAATTTTGACTGAAAAAAGCTTTGCTACAATTTCTTTAACCTACATCAGAACCACAACCAGACCCTAATAGTTGCCGTGATCTGATTATACACAAAATTTCAGATTTTTTTCCCACTACCTCTGCGCTGTGTCACTGTTTGACAACACCTTAGTTATGTCAAGCAGCATCCGGGGAGAGCAGAGCTTTGACCGCTCTCCCCGCATGGATTTCATTGCTCTAGAACGCGCAGTTTGCATAGGGATACTCTGGTAATCCACTGCTCTTGCTGCAGACATCGTGTTAAGTGTGAAAGCACCTTCAGTCTTACTAAATGTTACGTAAGAAAAACTGCTAAAAACAGTCAAAGTAAGAAAGTTTATGTTATATGTGTTAAAGTCAGGTATGCTCCTATTGCAAAATTTTCAATTTCTATCTTCTAAATAGGAGATACATCAAAATAATTAGAAAAATAAAGTTTAATCATCACTTCAAAGAGGTTCTGATGCTTTAGTAATGAATTGGGTGGTTAAAACACCAACGACTGATCATTTTGACTCTTCTTCATCTGTAGCTGCGACTTCCTTAACCTTGGACAAATCTGTGAGAAAGCTGTGAGAAATAAAAATGGCAGATTTTCTAAAGTATTTAGCCTGAAATCCATAACCTATTTTAGATTTTCTGCAGTAATGACTCTGAAGTGTTTGTTTAAAAAATAGGGAATACAGACTGAATTTAACTTTCTGCAATCATAGAGACTACAAAAAAATAAATAAGGGTTAACAAAGTGTATTTTGCACAACATGTCCTCTTAAACTTTGTTAAAAAACTAAAATAAATATGAGGGCAAATGCTTCTGGGTAGCACTGTGTATTCAACTGTAATAAAAATCCCAAGGACTGCAATTTCCTTAAAGCTGTGCATCTAGTGAATGTTTACAATATTTTGTTTCAATTATGGCACATTTGTGCTATATCAATATACTTTATTCTTAGAGCTGGGGTTACCTAGTCATTCTAAAGGTAAAATAAAGCCACAAAGTGCAATGATTTTACTTACTAAGCAGTTAGCTTTGCAACATGAGATTTATTTTATGTCACTCTTTCAGTAATGATATGTCTCCTGCTAACACAGTGGTTTTCGAGCAAATTACCAATCAGCATCAGCATTTCCAGGGTTTGCTGGAGCCGCCGGTATATCTTGTCTGTCCTCCCCTGACACTAACTCAGTTGCTGCTTGCTCTCACTTTCTTTTCCACTCTAAGCCTGTGTGTTCTTCTCTCTCCCCTCCTCCCTCCTTTCTCCCTAAAAATATGCTTTCTCCCTCTTGACATCACTTCTTTATCTGCTCTCCTTCTGCCATTTCTCACCCTACTCACAATACTATCACTTCTTTGCTCTCTTCCCTCTGCCATATCTCTTGCCTTGTCTTGAATCTCTGCCCACACCTCTCACTCCTTTTTCCTTCATTCCCTCTCCTCCTCCTCCTCCTCCTCCTCCTCCCACCTTTTGGTGACTCTGTGGCTGCTGATGTGGGCATGTGGGGCCTGCCTGACAGAGCATTGCATGCGCGGCCTGTCTAACTTTTATTCAGATTCAAAGAAAAGGATCCGTACATCCTATCAGAGTAAGTCGGGCCTTCCTACAGTAAAGGCTGGCGTGAAAGTACTTTGTGAATGTGTGAGTGGAGGGGTTTGGTGGGTCAGTGTTTTGTTAGATTTTAGTGGAAAGAATAGACATAGAAATAGATTTGGACTCACTGCAAAGAACAAGCGCAAGAAATTATTGAGGATTGAAGAAAATTTTAAACAAACTTTTCCCATATGCAGTGGCTTGCAAACCTTTGTGACATATACGTTTATCTGATAGAGCAACACTAAGCTGTGAATAATTGTAAAGTGAAAAGAAAATGAAGCATGGTTTTATATAAAAATCTGCAAAATATGGTGCATGATTTTATTCACCCCTAAGAGACTTAGTTTGGAAAGCCTCCCTTTTAGGATTTTATCTCTACCACTTTTGAATATGCAAAGATTGACCTATCTTTCTCTCCAAACCTGTTTAAAGGTTTCTAATGTTTAATTCCCATCTTATATACAAGACATTCCTTTTTTGTTTTTTNCTTTTTCCCATCTGAGTTGCAGCTCTTTGCAGCTCCTTCACAGTTACCATGAACTCTCTCCTGCTTCTACAGTGGAGCAAAAAATTTAATCAGCCACTGATTCTTACAAGTTCTCCTGCTTAGAATTGGAGAGGTCTGTATTTTTCATTACAGGTACATTTGAAATATGAGAGATAAAATGAGAAATAAAAGATATCCAGAATATCAGGGTATTTTATCAGTTGTATTTCTAAAATAATTTACTTGTAAAAAATATGGTAAAAAAATCAGTATTTAATGAATAACCAAGGTTTAACTCAATACCTTGTAGCCCAGCCTTGCAGATTTCCTATAAAGCAGGAATGTCTTGCAGCTGTTGCTGGGTAACATGGACTTTCAACTCCCTCCATAATTTTCTTAGGTTGTTACAGCTTGAAGACTACTTGGTCTCTCCATGACCTTAAAAATACCTTTAACAGAGCCACTCCTTTGCTGCCTGAGTGGTGTGTTTGGGATTATCGTTATGTTGAAAAATAGCCGGCTATGTTCCTTCTTCAAGGCTGTAACGGATGGAAGGAGGTGTTGGCTTATAATCTCACAACACACGGTCCTGTTCAATCTTCCCCGATCATTTGGCCAATTTTATTATCTTTTGAGAGATAATAATCTGTTCACTTTTGTGAATGAAACGTTGTTATTGGTGTAATGAAAATATATTTGACCTTAAAAGGGACTTTTCATTCAATTTTATAAAGATGTGCTAATTTCAGTTGCCCTATCAGATAAAATCTTAATGAAATATATATTGGTGTTTTTTTTCTGTCAAATGGCAAAATTTTAAAACATTTAACGGCTAGAACATTGGTGCAAGCCATTGTACAAAATTATTTCAATTTAGTCATGAATACTGTTCTTTGAAGGAATTTATACATTGCCATTATACATTTAGATGTCATTTAAGGTATATTTAATCTTAATTTATTTGGCTTATATAAATACAAGGATAGATAGAAAGACAGACATAGATATTCTTGAAGTATTATTTCTGGAAGACTGCAGTCAGACTGTAAAATCCTCAACTTATTATTGAGACAAATTTAGAAATTAGACATTTTGTAAGAACTTGTGGGAAATAACATAATTATTCAAAGTTTACAAGTCCATATCATGCATCTCAAACACTCCATTTATAGTGAGAAGATCAGGGTGTAGTTATATGAACAGATGGGGTTGTTTATTATATTTTCACTTTTAATTATTTTTGTTATTATTTTTTTGTGGCAGAAATGATTGCATTTTGACCCGTGCCTGCTGCATGCAATCAGATTTGCAATTCTTTTGTTTGGACTTGTGTTTGTTTTGTGTTTTGGCTGTTAAGGTCAGTTAAAAATGTGTGATTTGCACTACATGCTTTATAAGCTAGACTATAATCACATTTACATCTCAATGTGATTTACTTGGTCCAAAAATAGTTTGGTATTTTCACCACACTGTAGTGCAGGTCACACTAGCAATTAGCTGCTCTACAAGTGGACTAAATTAGTCCCACTTAACATGAAGTTGAGAGTAAAGACCTTGATTTTGAAAGATTACTTGTACATGTCCTTTCATGTTCTAATGGCTTTGCTAGGGTATATGTGTAAAAATACTGTTACAGTGAAAAATGTAGAAAAATCCAAACTTTAATCTGAGGACATTTATGCAATAAGTGGAAAAACTCCACATTCTGAGGTAATTGATAACACCTCTGTAAGGGCCTAATTTGCCCTTATGTAAATATGATTTTAACATAAGGATCCAAAGGGACTTGTTAGGTTCTCTGCAGGCATTCACATACCCCACAGATTCTTGCTGATGTTCAGTCTATATGTGTGGGCAGGGATAGTGGTCTGTGTCGGAGATTAGAGCCAAAAGCACAAGAGATAACAAAATCAAAAGATGAGATCAAAATCAAGAGCAGAAAATGAGAAAGATGACAGCTTTTTTAACAGAGTCTCTTAAGGACAGTAAGGATACAGACAATATATTGAAACTCTGGTCAGAAACCACTTTGTTTTTTCATTAGGTTTATTTTAATCTTCACTTCTGAGTAGATAGAGAATAAACCAACATATTTTCTGAGCTGGACATCTTAGTAGAACTATATATATATGTGTGTATATCTATATATATATATATATATATACACTCACCGGCCACTTTATTAGGTACCCCATGCTAGTAATGGGTTGGACCCCCTTTTGCCATCAGAACTGCCTCAATTCTTCGTGGCATGGATTCAACAATGTGCTGGAAGCATTCCTCAGGGAGTTTGGTCCATATTGACATGATGGCATCACACAGTTGCCGCAGATTTGTCGGCTGCACATTTATGATGTGAATCTCCCGTTTCACCACATCCCAAAGATGCTCTATTGGATTGAGATCTGGTGACTGTGGAGGCCTTTTGAGTACAGTGANTGTCTTGACCATGTCTACATGCCTAAATGCACTGAGTTGCCGCCATGTGATTGGCTGCTTAGAAATTAAGTGTTAATGAGCAGTTGGACGGGTGTAAATAATAAAGTGGCCGGTGAGTGTATATATATATAGTGGGATAAAGACATCAGGATGGTGATGTCAAAGGTTGATTTAAGTAATTTTAACCACCTCTGTGTTGAATCAATTATACATTAGGATGCATCAGAAGGTGTCAATGGGCCTTTGGGAGACACATATAACATACATGTATCTGTAGGATGGACGTGCTTTTCCATATATTTATAATATGTTTCATGCCAAACTTGCTTGGAACATTTGTAGATTAGATTTTAGAGTAAAGTTGAACAAACACCACATGTTTCCAATTGTTGGCACTTGGATACTTTGTGTTTACTGGCATTACACAAACGACAATCTGTTATGAAGACGTATTGATGCAACAATGGCAGATCTCTACAAGAGATTTGAAAATGTTCTTAACTTGTTATGGCAGGATAAATAATGTAATAGATAAATCTTGATTAATTACTACTAAGAAATTCTTAACTTAGTTAAATTCAGTATGCTTCCACAGCTTGGCATGAACTCAAAGCAACTAGAATTTCAAGAAAAACAGATTCAATTAATTTCAGTTACAGATATACACAGCATATCAAAATCTCACAAATTCAGTCATTATATCAGATCAGAAAAGTTAGTTTGATTGTAATTGTGTTACAAGGCAGTCTAACAGGTATTTTGAAAGCAAGGGAAATATGACATTGCTAAGGACATAAAGGATATTGCATTACTGACTTGACAACAACCATCTTACTGAGCAAGCGTCCGGCAATAGTAGAAAGGAACAACTGTTCTTAGGTTAAATATATTTTAACTTTGCCACAAGTAACTCTGTACAGTAGAAAAAAGTTAGTATTTTTACTGTTCTCAAATTACAAATTGGATTTTTCTATAACCTTTCACTGTTAAATATAGTTACACCAACACATATTTAATATACTTATAGTCATTTCACAGACATTTCATTAAAGAGGTACCAGTGAATAAGAATGCATAACTCTCTCTTAAGTGTTGTGTTGTTGATAAACATTTTGTGAATCATCTTTATGAATAAAAGGATAAATAGTGATTAAGGATGTGTCTCCTCTTCCTTCTTATGGCTGTCAATGGCTGCATTAGGCCTTACTGAACTCACTGACAACCAGCAGTCCATAGACATGGAGAGAAGCAAGTCACCCACTTCAGGTAACCTACTCATACATACCTACACACATGCACCCACTTGACTCTGAAACATTCTGGCTTGATATTTGCATCTATTTTGCTCGCTTGAAACTATGCTGGGTTGCTGTTGACTTTTAACTTGTATTACAGCCCTAGGTCCCCTCACCCACCACATGAGTATCTTCACTTGATGAGCATGGCAGCTGTTTAAAATGGCTGCTCACGTTCTGTGGCATTAGCTGGAAGTCTTTGATTAAAAACTGCCAAAGGTGATGAAATCAGAGTAGAATATCTGATGCGTTTTGCCCCAGCTGCGACTGTTGTTTTCTTTCATTCTTTTAACTCTACAGAACTATGTTTTCCAAAAGGTAAGAAGGAAAAAGAAAAACTACCCCAACCATCTCCTCTTCCTCTTTCTGTGTGAATCTTTGATTTTTCATCTAAAATTGATAAAACATCTGGCAGCTGTGGTTATGATTAACGTTATGAAATGTTGCGGGTAACGTACCTCATAAAATCTCATGCTTTATAGTACCGTCTTTGTTCTGTTTCAGTCATATTTATTATCTTCTTTCATTAAATGTTTTTTAGCATCTGAAAGTGCGCTGCTTGTATTAAATTATACAGGATGTATATTAAAAGAGGCTTGCCTTCTCAAAAGGATAATTCTGTAAAGACGCATATAACCCAGTGGTTCTCTGTATGCTTCTAGGTTCTATTTATTATCGTCTCTTGCATGAGGAATATAATAACTGATGGAAAAGCTTGGTCAAAGCAATTACACAAACTACTGAATATTCTTTGTGGCATGGATGCCAAAATAAAATTGGTTTGATTGCAGTTTATGAGCTTTGCGTACTGAAGACAAAAAGGGAATACATTATGGAGGATTTTCTTTTAGTTACTGTATAGTAAGACTACTACAGCAGATTCTGGTGTCAGCTGTGAGAGGGATTCTATCAGTGTGTGACTGTGTGAAAGAGACTAAAAGGCTGACTAAATGTGTTACAGGTTTTTTTATTAATTGTCATATTATAATGGCCCCTATGATTGAATTTTACGTAAATAATATGTTATTTCTTACTAGGAAGGTATTTTTTTGTTATCTTAGTTCAAATTAATTACTGACAAACACAGACAAAGCAAGGATAAAGAATTTTAATACGGTAAGATGTCCAGTTTGAAGTATGCTTAAGCAGGAAAATATGTAAAATAGGCTGAATGAAAAGGACTACCGGTATACAAAAATATAACACAAAGTACTGTGATGTGCTTACCTGGCAAAGTAATGGATCCTAATAAGATATCTTTTTGAGAACCTGTTTCAGAAAAAATGCCACTTTTGGTTCCACAGTTTGAAATCTATTATAATATTTGCATTAATGGCTCATTTATTCCAGTCAAATCGGGGTTTTTTTTATTAGCTCAGAAACAATTTTGGAATATCATCTCTTACTTCAGGAAATTGCAGTTAATTTCTGAAATGTTTCAGCAGATGGTGGGTAATTTCAAACTTTGGCTGTCTGGGAAGTGATGTACAGCAATTTCCTCTTAATGAGAAAGCAAAAAGAAGGATGCTTGAAAGAAATTGTTTCAAATAAAAGAGGACTGCAGTTTAAAGCAGTTTGTTCTCCCAAATATGAATAAAATGGAGTTGACCCCTCTTTGATATGATTCTGAATGGGATTGGGGAGATGTTAAACAATTGTTTTTCATTTACAAATAGGGAATATATTTAATATTTAAGGAATTGTGCCTGAATTTATTCGGAAATCGTAGTATTTTGACGGGGTCATCACAAGCACATCTGGTGCCCTGCTGCCCAACTGTCAACAACTCATCTTTGCACCTCTCCAAATAGATGATGACCCCGCTTGGCTCTATGGCGTGTTGTTTTGTTAGATCTATCCTCGATAACCTCACAGATCTGAGTCTTTAAATTACTTTTAAAGAGGCCACTCACCCACCACAATTTGCTGTGGGTAAACTTTATCTTTCTCAGCAGTCCTGGGAGAGCACAAATCCTTCCTTGATAAGAATTGTCCAGCTATTTTTATAAGCTCTCCTTAAGGTTGAGGGGTAGGAGCTCTGTTTTGGGGACCAATGTGGTATAAAGGTCTATCTTATCCACTGTTGTGGCCATTTGCAAAAAAGACCCTGGGGGCTTATCCAGAAAGAAAGAGTTGGCATCAGCTCTGGCAGCTGTGGCTTGAGTGTTAAATCAGTCAACCACCAACTGGAAGGATGTCAGCTCATTACGGCCTGTTTAATTGTCCTTCATGCTTTAAAGTGTCCTCTGGCAAGACACTGAACCCTACATAACCCTGATGTGCTCATCAGAATTCAAGTGTGTGTGTTTGTAATAAATAAAAGTGCCTCATGCATTGAATGTTAATATAAAAATGAAGCAGTGCACATGAAAGGGTAATTGAGAAAGAAACAATAGAAGCACATTGGCAGTGATTAAGAAGAAAGTCACTGTCAAGTTTGCAGTTTGATCTCATGGGTAAGTGTCAAACTGAAATTGTCGTTTGTGTGAATTACATGAAATGTGTCTACATTTTTTGATTGTCAGTCACAGTAAGATTGATTAGGAAAGAATTATTCTGTGATTTGAAAAGATATTGGTTTTCTCAGTCTTCCAAAGCATTCTCTGCAAAGTTCCAATTATATTGTAAAAAAGCATCACCTTAGGTGGTTCAGTGGTTGGTGCGCATGACCCATATATGGAGGCCTTAGTCCTGGACGTGGCCGAGCCGGGTTTGAATCCTGGTCCTTTGCTGCATGTCTCTCCCCCTCTCTCATACCCCCTTTCCTGTCAACCTACTGTCGAAGAAACAAGCCACTAGTGCCGCAAAAAAAAAAAAAAAAAAACACTTAGTAGCTTTCACCATAATTGGGATGAGCTAGTCTTTCTGGGGTCCACAAGACAAAACAAAAACATTTAACGGGTAAACATTGTAGATATATTATAGATGTCATCAGAAATCATACAGAATTATTTATTACATTTATTACTATTGCATTAATTCTCACTTTTATACAGTAAATATGTTAATTAACTACCCACAAATTTATATGGCACATTCTTAAGTAATAATTAAAAGACACTTTACTATTCAGGTACATTCGGTGGGCAATTATTACAATAACTGATGGCACGATAAATAACCGTTTTCTTTAAGGCATAGATTGGATTATAGTCGGTTCTCAGTTGTGCAAGAAATAAATTCTTGTTCAAATTATACATTTTTGTTTTTAGATTGAATTTATTGCACTGAATTTGAACAGTTATTTAGTTTTTACTTTAATTTTGCCAGCAAGGATTATGCCTTAAAAAATTCAGCTGCAGAAATCAACCTGCTGAAATTCACCTTCAAAAATTCAACCATAGAAATTGTCTTGCAAGAATTTGCTCGCAAAGAAAGTATTTACCTTCCGAGGATGGGTGTTAAACTGTTGATGGCAAAAGCTAGCTACCTTAAATTTCGGAAATTAACTCCAGCTTCAAGTAAAACTCAGAGTTTCCATGGTAACTGAACCACACACGTTTAAAAAAAGCAAGATATTATATTTCATATAAAAAAGACGCTCTGTTTCATAGTGCTGTAAGAAGTACTTCTGGCAGGCAACAAGATTGTTAAAGTCACTCAAACTCACCAGTTTTTCTTTTATAGGACACTTCTTAGTCATCATTTAGCACAATAATCTATGAGAATAAGCTGCAAGTCCAAGGACATTGTGATCTAGCCATCAAACAATTACAATTTAGCTGATTGTTTATTAAGGTTTCTACTTAATTCTATTAACAACAGAAACTCTACCCACTACAACTTATAATTGAAGAAATATATCAACATATTCTATTAAAGTTAGGACCAGAAAGAGATTATAATTGTATCATAACCTTTAACAGAAAGAGCTCTGGTTATACAATTTGAAACACCAGTTTAAAAAGAAATATATAAAGGAATCTTATTATTATTATTTAATAAATAAGAAAATAATGTATTCATTCTAAACTAAAATAAAAAATATATTGGTCATACCAATTTATGATATAGGATATTATATATAACATTCATACCCTGTCATTTTAATTTTAAGTTTATTTGTAATACCTTTATTATTATGCTTTTTATAGACAAAAACTGCAAATAAAGCAACCTGATGATTGCTGGCTAATTTAGTAAGGTTGGCTGCTCCAGTACCCGACCTGTAATCGGAAGCTTTACACACATGATGCTCATAGCTTGTCAGCTATAATCTTTAAAACATTGGTACCTTAGTCAGAGTAATAGGAGTTTCTTCTTTAGCTTCATACAAAGGCTGTCAGTGTTTCTGTCTGATAAAGAATTCCCAAAAAAAGCCATCTGAATTGGAAATGTTGTATTGGAAAATAAACGAAAAAGCATAATGTAACAGCTCGTGGTTTTAAAGACTTAAGATTTGGAAGACAATGATTCACTGAATCCAGTTACCAGCCTATCCCTATTCAAAATGCCATGATTAAATGCTGATAGAAGTGTCTGTTTGCACTGCAAGTAATTTTATAAGAGTCTTTGATGTGAAAATACTGTTTAGATTCTCAAATATGAAATAACATGTGATTGATTTGTTTTAATGGTACAAAATAAAAATGTTGTAGTGTGTCTTTGACCATAATTCTTTGTTTTTACTTCAGTTAAAAGGAGTCCCCTAAAACAGCTCTGCATTTTTCCAAAAGAAAAATAATAATTAATTCCAATTTTTTTTTTTCTTAGAATATATCTTTTATATATCACCTATTTTCATGTGTTTACTCACCAGCCTGCCTTTGCTAAGACTGCAAGGACAAAATAACATAACTAAGACAAGATGTTCTTTTCCTTTGTGCTAAGACGCCTTTCAGATCTGTCATGTCATCTAGGTCATGGGAATTTTGCAGTAGGCTTAATATTAGGTGTTAAAGACATAAAAGAGCATAAGATTTGTGTAAAGATGGGTGAAAAGAACAGGTATATAAGCAACAAGATTCTGTGTGAACAAATTTGATTCACATTTTGCCAGTGGGAGAGAAAATGCACACAGGTAGAGATGATACAGATCAGTGTTACAGCTTAAGAAGATAGAAAGGAAAATGGTCTCATTGTTTTTTCTTTTTTCCTGCCATCTTAGTTCATGTTCCATGTTAATTGGGAAGTGATTAAAAACACTCTAAGCACTGATATTCCTGCAGTAATAATAGACAGCACAGCTGTGCTTTGCTTGGCAAACAGAGGCAGTATGGCTTGTTTTTACTGGATGAAATCACACTGCCACCCTTCACTGTGGCCATTAGATGCTGTCTGTCTGCCCCTGGCACACCAGGTTGGTGGTGTCTGCTTAAAGCTATATACACACTGCAGACAGACAGCTTATTAAGCAAGTCAGCAGTTGTCCTTATTCACCCTGTGTCAGTGAGTGTAAGCATAGATGAACTGATTTCCTCTTAACAAATGTTCACCTCTCTTAACTGACATTAGATGCAGTAATTGGACTGCCGGATGATTGGAAATTGTCTCCCTCCACACACCAAATTATGTGCATTTTTTTTTTTATTTAGGGTTATATGTCACCTTTTTCCAAGAGTTTTAAGCCACTAGAAGCTGTAGCAGTACTTAGCTGACACATAGACAAGATGGCACACAACCAATTGAGAACTCACCCAGGGGGTTAAATTTAGTAGAGGTGCTTTAGGTGTAATGATATCTAAAAAAAGAAAAATAAAATATTTACTGAAGATAGAAACACAATGTGAAATTTTTAGAATCATATTTACACTTACAGACAGAACTCATTAGAGGGAACATCTGTGCATATGCACCCAAATCTGCTTTTAATAGGTGTAGTTTGTGCTTACAAAGATTAAAACCACTTTATTTTTCAACAATACTTCTGTAATTACCTTGGTCCTTTTTGATAGATGCAGTGGTGTTTGTATTTGAATAAGCCCATATCAGTTAAAGTAAAGCAAGCCCTTTGCTCATATAACAGCATTCTTATTCCCAGTCATTGGTCAGTTTATTACATCATTCTGAATCGGATGTTTCATTAGCGTTAGATATGGCACAAGGAACCAATATAAATATTTGTATGTTCTGAGAAGGTAATGTCTAGAATTCCTGTGTCATTAAAAAAAACTGACAAACTTGGCAGATATTGTTTTTTATTGCTATAGCTTAAAGATATAGCACTAGATGGTTTGCTCGTATAGAAAATGTAACTATGTCTGTATGATAGAAGGTCTTTTGCATAAAATAAAGCCCAAAAGCATTAGAAAGAGCTGCAGTTTTGTGATAAATAAGTCTGGTCTATTGCAGTTTTTTGTTGTCCTTGTGGTAATACTTTAGAGTCATTTTCATTGTTATTTGAGGGATAAATGAAGGCGTCTGAGCTGTCTGCTGTTGGTGGAAGAGAATATTTTCTAAACATGGCATTAACCTCTTTTTTTCATACCTTCAGATTTGATTCCTGTCTATTACCTGCAAGTTTCTCTTCTCCCTAGTTCACCCAGTGTGTTTTTCTCTCCCCTGCTTCCCTGAAAAGTCTGTCTGTTCTGTTGGCTCTCCTGTTTCAGTTCATTACCCAACCTCCCTTCACAATGACCCACGCATCCTGCCAGAACCGGTGGCCAGTCTGAGAGCCAGCCACTGCAGTCCAGTCTTTTACTTACTGGACAATGGTAAGATGAGGGATGACTCATGGATCTCGGCCTCTTCGTGGACACCTGCTTGTGGTCTGTGTTCTGTGGCCTACATGTTACATGTGAGGGAGATAGGATCATTAGTTTTAGGATAGTGATTGTTTCAGCGTTCACCTTGCATGCTTGCTATGCTTCACGCTGTGAGCAGCCCTATTAACAAGATAGCGGAAATCTTCAAGTGAATTTGTTTCAAAACAACTATGGTACAAAAGAAATAAATCTCTTTAAAATGTAGCGATTTCAATTTAGCATCTTTTATACTATTTGTCACTTTATAACCACAAACTTCAAATTATTTCACATATTGTGCAATTACTACAGTACACAGTTATGTACAGAAATAGTACATAACTGTGAAGCAAAATAAAATGAAGGATGTTTTTTAAGAAAAAAAGTCTGAAAAATGTAATTTCTTTCAACCCCCTTTTCTCCCAGAGCCCAAAAACAATACAAGCACATGGTTTCCAATGTTACCTAATAAGTGGGTTTTTTTGGTACAACAACCTCTCAAGCTTTTAACATCTTGTAAAACACCATACTGTACAGCCTATCATCAAAAGAGCTTTAGAGATCCACAGTTCAGATTGTACAAACTATTGGTTAGGAACAACAACAATCTGGACTTTGTAGAAGAGTGAAAAGAAGATGGGTGCAGTTGAAATAGATCCATAGGAATTCCAGGTTTGCCATAAGTAAATGATGAGACAGCATATATTTTGAAAAAGTGAGTTTTTGCCAGAAAATTGAACTATCAGGCATTTACGCAATTCTGCAATAACTCCTTTAAGAGGCTCCAAAACACTTACACATGGTCCAAAACTTTGCATTCCAGTAGAACAAGGAGCCAATAGATGAAGCTGCATATATGGAAGGGAATAGCTTAGATCAAAACTTCAATCTAGGTAAATTCGATCTGTTTTTCATAGGAAATGGGCAATGAGATTAGCCTTTACATGTACAAAGCTGGTAGAGATATATCCCAGAAGAACTGCAGATGTAGTTGAAGCACTGGTTGGCTTTACAAAACATTTTATTACATCACCTAAAGTCCCAATAAATTAGTTTGTGATTTTAAGGTGACAAAACTGGAAAATATTTTTAAATCCATTTGTAAAGCATTTTACAATATTACAAACCAACTGGACTTTGGAATATGGCCAAAAAAACAGTATATTATGCAAGTAGGCTTTAAAGGCACACCGCAGACTTTGTGACCTAAAGAGTTGATGCATACGAGTTATTTTAAATGATTCATCAGACCAACATAAAACACTTGACAATATCAATGCTAAGAGGGGGGCTCCCCTCTCTAAATAACACCTATGTAAGCTGTGAGACGACTTACAATTGTTGACCAGGTCATGTGACTTGGAAGAACGTATCGCTTTACGGCCACAGGCTCTTATATAGACGTAGTACTGATGCTTTTGATCCAATATTTTCCTGCCTGCTCAACTTCTGGTCATGGCTGAGGCAAGGAAAAAGTTGAAACCTCCTGAGGAGGCTTAAAAGAGAAAATATGAAAGAGATTGTGCAAGAGGAAAAACAAGAGTCGATTGAGTTCGAGTTTGTTTGTTGTCGCAGACTGTAAGAAGAAGCTAAATGTAAAATAATTTTTTTTCTCAACATTATTATTAGACATTTAATTTAACACTTTTCTCCTAGTATAAAGTCATATATCTTTATTATTTTCGATGTTTAGTGGAAGCAAAATATGGGCAGAGAAAGCCAGCAGGCTAATGACAAAAGCTAACTGAGATGCCCCGTCCGAACCAGTGGCTCTTCGCTGGAGCTGCGCTGCTGGTCCTCAACGCTGCATGGCGTGGACCGGGCTGCCCTGCGGTGTTCTCTCGAAAGCAGCAGTGTTTCTCTGGCCCTCTGAGCTGAACCTAGAAGCCTATAGCGCAGCCCATGAAAGGACACAGGAGGATGGCCAGCTGATTGTTTGTTGACTTTTCCTAGCATCCCTAGCGGCAAGTGTTGCCACTAGGGATGCTAGATGTGAAAGTTACAGGTTCTAGCACCCCTAGTGACCAAAAGTTACCCGGTGTGCCTTTAAGATTATTGAGAAATATTTCTAAGCTCAATAGAAATCTAGATGATTTAGCAAGAAAAATCCAATTAGACATCCCAGAGCCATTAGTGGTCAAAACAGAAAAAGCTTACGAACCAGCTTGCTTACTGTGCTGCCAGAAAGAAAATGTGCTACATGCTTTGTGATGATGGTTGCTAAGTGGCCTCCTTGTCTTGTGGCTCCACATGCAATGAATTTTGATGTTCGTATCTGCCAGATCTGGGCTTTGACCTCTGACCCCTTATCAGTCTCCGATGCTGTGATGCAGGTCGCATTAAGAATAAGAGGGAGGGGTTGTATTCTGGTTGAATCCAGCGTCTCACTCTGTGCTTTGAGTGACTCATTCTGTGGTGCATTAATCATTGTTTCCCCTCTAGAATCACTCATCGCTGCCACTAAAAGGCGACAAGCTTCTTTCCCGAGCCCTAGTGCTTGGGTCTTTGTCTGTGTGTCAATAAACTCGCATACTTATCTTGTTGTTCTCTTGGCTAACATTAATCATGACCTTGTCTTGTCTCTAACTAACTGCATGAAGCTTGCTGTGTGGGTAATTCCAGAGCTGAGCAGCTTTAGCAAAGTCTGTTTTAGGACTATGATACATCATATGTAATGTCAGAGCTCTATTTTTCTATACTCAATCAACTATTATGGGTTTTATCAAGAAATGTGATGGAATTTTATGCCATATTATCTTACAGAATATTACTGTTTGCAATGGGTGAATCGAGTCAGGAAGGTGGAATATCTACACTACTGTTAAAACGCCAGATGTTGTCATCTAACACCATGTTGACCTATGTAGAAATGTTTTTATCTGAAATTTGACATATGCCAAAAAACTAAACCGAAAAAAAGGTTAGAGAGAAAACAAAAAAGATGAAAAAAAAATCAATTCAGGGCAAGTAAACATTTTTATGGTTTATAGTGTTAATGATTAAACAATGCTGATACCTAAGAAGAGTATATGCTGTAACTGGATCAAAAGGTGTATTAAACAGTGAACTTGTCTGAAGGCATACACTCTTATACTAGCACACTGTTGTTCCATTTTTTTCTTTTTCTTATTTGGTTTGTCATGCACTTTTCAGGGTATGTGACAATGGAAGTAACAAAATCTTGATAATGATATATCATGCTCTAATAATTTCATTGTTACAAAAAACTGGCATTTTAACAGCAGGGTAGACTTTTAAGAGTCACTTTGTGCTGCTGTAAAATAATGGGTCATCTGTGTGGAAAGATAAAATGTTGACGGTGGCCTAGTTCAAAAGAAAAAAAAAAAACTCTTGAGTAGTGCCAGAGCATTTCAAAGAACATTTAAATGTTTATTTATGCCTTGGGCAAATGTTGTATCCTTGCAAAGAAAAGGGAAGAATCTGCATGGTCAGAAAAATAATGTTATTTGTTAGTGGGTACAATTGGCAAACCATTTTCTATTTAATGCTTTACATATAGTTAGGAGAAAGGGGAGGTCTAGCACCATATTTGAGGCTAGTTCTACAAAAACTGCTGTTTTATTTAAAATAAAGTAAGATCAGTAACACGTTAAAGATGCAATATAGTTTTTAATCACATTTACTGGCAAAGTACAGTTCCCCAAAGAAGTATTCAGCCTGTTTCTGATGTGGAAATTGTTAAATTAGTTTTCACTGCAATACAACCATATAGTAGCCTAATGGTTGGATAAATAATTTAGAGGTCATTCACAATTTTCATCATTTTCAAATTAAGGGTATGTGTATGCTTTTAAATGATGATTTTTCAGCTCATGGCAAAGTAATTTTTTTTTATTTTCTTAGGCATTGTCAACTTGAAATATTAACCAAACTCAAAGTGTAATTAACAAGCATTGCTCTGTGCTAGCATTAAGTAGCATTAGCACAACAGATGTCAATTAGCTTGTATCTTTAATTTTATAGCTAAAATTATTTCTCTATTTATTCAGCAACTTCATGGAGGCTTCTCTCTCTCTCTCTCTCTCTCTCTCTCTCTCTCTCTCTCTCTCTCTCTCAGTTTTTTTTATTCATTTATTTATTGATTTGCATTCAACATCAAGTATTGTTCAGCAAGAACAATTGCAATTGTAGTTCCCAGTTATGATAAAATAGGTTTGCTGAAAATCAAATTTTTTATGATTGGATGTGTGGGGAGTTCAGTCCAAAAAAGTAAAATACATACAGTATCTACAGTGAGGAAAATAAATATTTGAACGCCCTGCTATTTTGAAACTTCTCCCAGTAAGAAATTTCATGGAGGGGTCTGAAATTGTCATCGTACAGTAGGTGCATGTCCACTGTGAGAGACATAATCTAAAAACAGATTCAAGAAATCACAATGTATGATTTTTTTTTGTATGATACAGTTGCAAATAAGTATTTGAACACCTCAGAAAATCAATATTAATATTTGGTACAGTAGCCTTTGTTTGCAATTACAAAGGTCAAACGTTTCCTGTAGTTTTTTACCAGGTTTGCACACACTGCAGGAGTGATTTTGGCCGACTCCTCCACACAGATCTTCTCTAGATCAGTCAGGTTTCTGGGCTGTCACTGAGAAACACAGAGTTTGAGCTCTTTCCAAAGATTCTCTATTGGGTTTGGTTTGGTGATTGGCTAGGCCACGCCAGAACCTTGATATGCTTCTTACAGAGCCACTCCTTGGTCATCCTGGCTGTTTGCCTTGGGTTATTGTCATTTTGGAAGACCCAGCCTCAATGCTCTAACTTAGGGAAGGAGCTTGTTCCCCAAAATCTCGCAATACATAGGCCCAGGCATGCTCTCCTTAATGCAGGGAGTTTGCTATGTCCAGTATGCAGAAAAACACCCCCAAAGCATGATGCTACCACCTCCATGCTTCACAGTAGGGATAGTGTTCTTAGAATGGTACTCATCATTCCTCTTCCCCAAAACACGCGTGGAATTATGACCAAAAAGTTATATTTTGGTCTTATCTGACAACATGACTTTCTCCCATGACTGACCATGTTAGTAGCTGGATTCTTACTGATTGTATGGGGTGGGTAGGTGTCTTTATGCAGCTAACGATCTCAAACAGGTGCATCTAATTAAGGATAATAAATAGAGTGGAGGTGGACATTTTGAAGGCAGACTGACTGGTCTTGGAAGGTCCGATTTCTAGCTGATATACAGGTATTCAAATACTTATTTGTAGCTGTATCATACAAATAAATAGTTAAAAAAAAATCATACTTTGTGATTTCTGTTTTTTTTTGTTTTTTGACTATGTCTCTCACAGTGGACATGCACCTACGATGACAATTTCAAACCCCTCTATGATTTCTAAATGGGAGAACTTGCAAAATAGCAGGGTGTATAAATATGAATTTTCCTCACTGTACGTTTTGCACACTTGTTGAAATGTTGAAAATTGTGACCAACCTCTAAGATGAAGGGCCAAGTCAAGAATTCCACTCAAAAACATCAGTGAGACTAAAAAGAGTGTTACAGCCCACACACATACATAAATAGAACTCCCTCAGTATGACACTGCAATCACCATATCTATCTTTCCCTAGGGCCTAATAACAGTACCCATTCCCAAAAATAACCATGTTCACATTGAAGTCTAGTTACAATAAGAAAGGCAGGGTATAGCAAATGGGGAATTGTAAGTGCAATGCAAATACAATAGAATGTTGTTACATTTAAAAACAAAAGCCAGAGTAAGTACACAAAAATTCAGCATCATGCTACCATTATTGTCTGTAACACCTTACAATGCCCCAAAATACATTATATTTCAAAAATATTGTTCAAGAAAGACAATACATGAAACAAATTGGTTGTATACTTTTGGAACTCATTGTAGGTACAACAGATATGATGTAAAGACATTCAATTCAATACATTTCATTTTTTATATTTTCAATTGACAATGTCTTCTCAAAGCACTTTACAAAATAATTTTATCAGATAATACGGACAGATGGTAGAAATGTTTCATCTAAGGAAACCCAGCTGACTGCACAGAATAATTGGCTTGCAGGACATGCTCCTCATGGATAAGATAATTATAGAAAAAGTAATAGCCATTAGGTAAAATGCAAGCAGTATCTACTTTAGTACTATTTACCTCTTCCGTCGCCCAGGTCAGCTTGACCTGTTTGTTGCAATAAAACCAGTTTATGAAATGTTTGTGCAGCTGCGGAGCAATTATGCAGAGGAACCATCCTCGTCTAACAGGTTTATAATGAACATAATTTTCTTTAATCGTATATCTAACAGTCAACATTTTATGAAGTTGCTGCATCAGTTCTTCTCTAATCATATTTTATGAAATCGCTTGTCCATTAGCTCATTAGTGACACTAATCTGAAGGCCAACTCTCAATAAAAAAATATACAATAATGTACGGTAAGCTGGAAATGGACTCTTTAAATGAAACAAATCTTTAAACTAAAGCATCTTTGGAGAAGACTTAAGAAGACAGAACGTCCCCTTGATGAGCATGAAAGATGAAGTTCAAGTTGACAAAGTCTCATTACTAGTCTTTTGTGCATGTGTCTTTTCTAGGCTCCAGTACACAGCAAAAGGATCAGAACCTGAGTTCACTTTTTTTCACAAATAAATCACTGCTGACTCTGATTACTTTTACCACTAAAAACAAACAATTAAACGGACATAAAAAAAAAAAAAAAATCAAGTTCACAGTCATGACATTTCCGTACTGGTCATTTAAATTTCAAGGTGTTATTTAAAACCCATTCTGTTTTTTTCACATGTAATTAGAATTCAAAACAAATAAAGAATAATCCACTTTTCCTGTAAATAATTTTTCCTTGATTCTTTATTTTTTTGATGCACACCTCAACTCCAAACTTTCTCTACTTTCTGAAAAATGCTTGCAAAATGTTTCACTGAGCAGTTTTGGTTGCCTTTAGTGTACCATGAGGAATCATCCTGTATATCTGTGCCTCCATGTCAGACATCCCAGGCCAAAAATACTTTTAAACTGAATATAACTATTGTAGATATTGAATATTAGATAAACTAGACAAATGAATAGGCTAAAAGAAAAATGAATGAATGGGAGAAAGTTGGTTATTTTATCTGAGCTGGTAACCAAGAAGCCAAATGATGCCTGATCTAGGCTAATAATTATTACACCCAACAGTAAGCATCTCATCTCCACATCAGTATTGGTTCTAAGCACTGTTGCACAATTGCCTATGAAAACTGGCCTGGGAAAAACCGTAGAGCATGCATTTTACCTGCCTTATGTTATTGCACCAAACTGCATGCTCTGGTTCCTTGTTCATTTGTTTAATTAAGTTTTGTAGGTTTTTTTTTTTTTACCTTTTTTCTTATTATTTGACATGGATTATGTCTGCTCTTTTTTTTCCTTCCTTTTTTCATTTCCTTTATCTATTTATTTTTGTTTGAAGGGATTAACTGGTTCTTTGTTTCCTATTCTTTTGTTTCAGTAAAGGGACCCGGCAGAAAGTTAAGTCTGCCCACAGATCTTAAGACTGATCTTGGTACGGTAGGCGAAAGCCAGCAGTTTTCATTTGATTTCCTTTAAGTTGTTTACTTTCTGTTTTGTAAAATAACTAGACCTTCTGTCACTTAAGAATTTCTTTTTTATTCCTCTCATTAAATTTTCTGTTTCCTTATGACTTTCTATGTTCTTTTTTTAACCAGCCCATAAGACTGTCAGCCTAAAGTGTTTGTCCACTTTGGCCCTTTGACAGCTTTCTTTGTTTTGTTTTGTTCTGTTTTATTTGTATCTTCTGTGTTTGTTTCTTCTACATTTTGCAAGTGTTTATAAAGGTGATTTTGTAGTTCATAACTACTGTATATTTAAAGTTGAGGCTTTCTATCGCTTTCCCATGATTGGACCATCTTCTGGTTTTTGCTCAATCCTGCCTTCATCAACAACCGTTGCTTTTCAGTATTGGATCACTCGCTGCCCTGTCTCATTGTAACTGAATCATTTCTCGCTAAAACAGTTCTCCCTTCATTTTTACTGGATCACCTACATAACAGATTCTTCGCGTCCACCCCTGCTTGCATTTCTGACTGCTAAACATCATGATCTCAGGTTTCCCTTTGCTGTCCTTCTGCAGTTTTACATGCACTCTCCACACTGACAATGTTCACTTTCTCAACATATAACTCGCCTGTCTGTAACTGTTGTTTTTCAAACCTTTTTTTTAATGCAGTTACAATAAAACTTTTTCCTTTTTTTTTAGCTGCATTAAGAATGAACATTTTAATAAATGATAGAAAAGAACATTTTTAAACCATTCACTCTAGTTTTCTTTTTTTGATAAAAGGTGTCTTTTTAGTGTTTCCTCTTATCGGTTATTATACACCCAAAGAAAATCAATATATATTTTGGGGATTTGATGTCAGAAATACACAAAAAAAATAAAGAGGAGGGAAAATAATAGGTTCATTTATTTATTCTTAATATGAATGTTTTTTACAGTTAACAGTATTATAAAAAAAGATACAAAGTGGATAGTTAGGTGCGAGATAAAGTTGGTATAAAGTTCAAAGCAAGTGTAAATGCAATAAAACATTACACCATCATGGTGTGAAGATGTTTTTCTTCAAAGGTTTAGATCAAAATATAGTAATGTTTTGGAATTACCTATTAAAACTTGGACATGAATCAATTTGGGAACCTCTGCTAACAGATTTCTGTTAACAGATGCTCTATATCAGATTGGATCAGAGTAAAGGGGTAGAAATAATTTTAAGATGTTTATTTAATGATAAACTTTACTTTGTATAAAGCAGTTAGATAAAATCTGGACAAAAGGCTTTGAAGATTATGGTTGTGACTTGTCAAAATATAAAAATGATAAGAGGTACAAATGCCCACGCAGGACTATTTCATTATTTTGCTCCTTTGAGCATCTAAAATGTCAAAATATGAGCAATTTTATAGTGTGTTAACGAAAGAAAAATTTGTTATTTAGTCTGTTGGATGGAACAGTTCCCAATTTTTATGCAGATGAATATAATTGTTGGTGTATTTTTGATAGATTTCTTTTTTTTTCTGGTTTTCTGGATAAGGTAGATGATACCGGAGAGAAGTCCTTGTTAACTAAGAGCTTTCATCAAAACATCTGGGAATAAACCACTGTTACTGTGTCCCTGTTTGAAATTCAGAATAAGAAAAACACACCAGCAGATACACATCAGTGCCATCATGTGGCTTCCCATTAGCCCCGTTTTACACACTGGGGGGAGAAAAAAACACCCCTGTGCTATCTTGGTTCGTCCTGCTGTGAACCCATGTGAGTGTTGCACGTGGACTGGGTGGCACCCCAGTGTTTTTCATCTTCACTTTGGAATTGGATTTTTCTGCCAAAAGCACCTGAATAGAAGAGCAGATCTGAAAAGGCAGCCATAGAACAGGAAATATGGAACACTGTGTACTGCTTTTAGCAATTAGCATAATGCTGTTTGTCTGCATGCTTCATAAATGTTCAAACAAGAATATTAGAGAGGGAAGGAGAAAATGATAAAGGAAAGCAATTCCATCAGACATTCCTATCAACTCCAAATGCTTTTAACCTTGGTTTTATTACCACACGGATGTCATTTAAAAAGGGCATTGCTTTATTTATTTGTCTCGAAGGACAAGGAAGAATGGGAGCATCAAAGGATAGGTATCGTGGGGCTTTTAATTATGAATATCCTGACAGAATCGTTGTCTGTTGATACAAAAGAGCCGTGTCCAAGCTTTCCTATTTATGTTTTGTTGTCTCATTGAAAGGGTTTGGTTCAAAAGAAGTTATTTTATTCTCACTCATTTTGTCCCGCAGGCCCGCAGCATTAAATAAAAAACAGCCAGCAGCAAATGCAGTCCCTATGGAAAAAAAACATGTAAAGCCATGATTGCAGAATGCAACAAGTGTTTTCATATGAGCACCATCTGTGACTCTGTAAACGCTCCAAATGAATTTGCACAGGAATAATACAGAACATAATAAAGGTTTATTATGAGCTTAGATGGCAATGTTGCAAGGACTGAGATTAGATTAAAAAAATTAATAGCTTCTTCTAAAAACAGAATTTGACAGTCTGACAAGGATAAAAACAAAGTGGAGATGAAATTTGCCTGTTTTGTTTGTTGTGTTCTTTTTATCTCTTTCCTGGCACAGAGGTGGTGGAAGCTGCACTTTCAAATTTCACTCTGCATTTTTTTCTTTTCCTTTTGACAGCATCTATTTCTTCTCCTTGCACATACTTACCTTCAAACCACTCTTCAGCCCTTTGCTACGCACTCACCCCCTGTCCTTCACTGTCATTTTCCTACTTGACAATCAGGTTCTATACCTCTTACACTGCAATATATTCATCTTCATAGGCTCTGAAGCTTACTTGCCTTCATATTTTGAAAACAAACTTTGCTTCAAAACTACTTCATTTTGAAGATGTAAAAGGCCCCATAATGTTGTTTTGACTTTAATATCCATTTTCAGACCTATAAAGATGGATGTTGCAGCTGTGGATTACAATATGTTAGAAAAAAAATTATCATTTCCCTCCGTTCTGTTGTTTGCTAATGCTTTGCCGTTGTTACAGATCATGTCAATGGACATTGCACTAGTCCCACCTCTCAGCCCTGCTCGGCGGGGAAGCCTCGCATTCCGATGGGTCCCGAGGGGCCACGGCTAACCCGCAGAGGCCCTGGCCGACCACCCTTCCGAAAGGCCCAGTCTGCTGCTTGCATGGAGATCTCTTTGCCTGTGTCCCACACTGAAGGTGTGTGCTTGTCTTCCCAACTCCTTCATCCTTAAAACCTTCATACCATAACCCCCACATGTTGCTAACGAGTGCATGTTACCCTGTTTCCCTTGGGTAAGTGAACTGCAGCCTGATACATCGTTAACACAAAGCAAGCATGTGCTAATGCAAGTTAGCATCCTGAAGTTTTTGCTAATGTTGTAGTTCTCAGGAGGAGAGAACACATGGTCTTGTAATCATATAAACAGAAATTAATAGCTCTGCAATAGAGATATAAATGTCAAATAAAAAACTATGCAGGCTTTAAAGTCTGCAATGACTAAAACTTAGCAATAAATTGCTATTTTAACAGACATACAGCAAAAGCAACAACATTAAGCTTCCCAATAATGCATACACCTCCAAATTGTGCATAAAGGAATATTCTATGTACATCAATTAGAATTGTAAATATTATTGCTGCTGCTGATTTAGTTACAGAGTTGAAAAGAAGCTCTGAAATCATATTTAATGTGGATGGCCAAAAGGAAAGGCACATGACAAATCACAACTAGTAGTTTATGAGGTTTATAATATAATTCAGTGAATTAACAGCATTTGTAAAAGCATTTTAATGCTTTTAATTTAGCTCAGAGAGATCCCTAAAAACTAATTTCAGATTCTGTGTGCATGATATTCTTTTTGGCTGTGCTTATGTATGCATTTTTTACACAGAATGCTTCACAAGGTAAAACCTATTGAAAACAATATGACCAAAGACATATCCAGGAATGTATCACGCTTAGGAGAAGACCCTGCTCATCTGCATAATTCTGCTGAAAAGTTGATAAAAATAAAGATAGGATTTGCTCTGCTTATGTTAGGCTCAAGCTGTTGGAGGAGGCACATAAACCTCTAATATTAACAAGGAAACTCCAGACATGAAAGGAAACAACTTTGGGCAGATATATTAGAGGAGTTTTTACTGAAACTGAACATTAAAAAATGGAAAAATAACAATTTCTGCATAGTAGGGTCATTCTTATTTTAAGATAATTTTATTTATTTTTTTTTAAGTTGTAACTATCAACTAATGGCCTGACAGATCCTGGTCTCCATGGACATGCTTTACTCTGATGCGAAGGGATGGTTGGAAAATTTGATAATCAATTAGCAAAATTACTAGTTGGAATCGTATGAGACATTTCGTTTCATACTGTAGCAGCTCTTTCTGAGCTCTTTATTTGGTCATTTGTAAGGATTTTCTACAGATTTCTGCATCTTGCATTAGCATCATCTCTCAACAATTTGACTGCAGGCTTTGCCTCTGTCAAATGCAAGAAACAGCCCTTGCATTGTGTGCTTTTGAAACTTTGCTTGTGTCAACCATGTTTCAGGCGTGAAGGTTGCTGCAATTTAAAGGGAATTAATAAGTGAAATTTTGTTTTTATCAGCATCTTTCTGCCTTCCTCTTCTAAATCCAAAATCCCTTTATAAGTCATTGCAACTTTTAACAACTGTCACTGATGTGTTTTTTAAGGAGATTTGATGGTGGTTTTCTACTTAGTTCTTGACATGATATCCAATTCTCTTTTTCTCTAACTTTTAATATTAATAATAATCAAACAGTGGCCTTCTTTAGTGTGGCAACACACTTTTCTGAAAATTAGTATTACTACCTTCCTTTTTATTCTGTTGGGCTATTAATGTTTTATTATACAGTAACCATGGAACAATAACTAAAAAAAAACTAAGTTATCATAAAACTATTTTGATTGATCGATGTGAAAATTTGTTTTTGGTGATGCTTTTCCATGTGACTGAAACAGAAAAATCTTTGTCAGAAAACGGCAATCTATTATTAATTAAGGCTTTCATACCCTTCAGTCAAATTTCACCAAGAAAATTCTTTTTTTTATTTTAATGTGACTGATCAGCACCTTTTAAGTATAGATGTAGGACAACTATTCTGTAACGTCATCTTATCTTAAAGAACATTAAGCAACAAATAACCTTGCAAAAAAAAATCGGAGCAGGGTTTGTGTTATGAAGAAAAACCCTGAGCCTTAGACATTTCACGGAACCCTGTTTTAACCATCCTATGAAAAAGGAGAGTATGAAACAACTGCAAACCCACTAAGACCTCTTCTTACTATACATACCGTGAGAGGAGATTCTTATGCAATAAAGCAGCCTGGGGATCAGTAATCATTTAGGTAAAATGCTGATATTTACTCTATCGAAACAAAAGGTGTCCGACAAAAGCTCCATAAATCTTGTTGTGTTTTTTCGGAAGAGTGCCAATGACAACAGTAAGCCACAAAGCATGGTACCTAGGGGACAGTTCAAACATATGAAAACCTTTTGTGTGACTATAGACCAGTTAGCCTACATGCAAGATGTATGTTGGAAAAGCAAAAACTTTACTGCAAATAACTAATTTCACAACTTCTTCCTCTCCTCTAGGTAAGATAGACTGAGCCTGCAAGACGCATAGAATGCGATTTAAAACTCACTTTCAATCATAGTAATTACACTCAACAAATAGAGCTAAAAGAAAAGGGGAGAGCACATGTATGTGTTCTAAAAGGTTATAATTCTCTCATGGCTTTTTAACCCATTAAAAGGAAAAATTTAAATTTGATGATGATGATGATGATGATGATAGGCAGTCTTCTTCCAAACTAAAACAATCCTGTTGCAAAATCCTTTGTGATTTTGTCTTGGCTGATCACAAAAATTCTAATAAAAATGTTGCGATTTACATTTTTTCAAAACTGTTGAAAAGCTTAGGCACTGTATTAGTCGTGGCATTTTTTTGTTCTATTTAGTAAATAAAAAATAATTAAGATAGACACCATAAGATAATTGTCTTATGACAGTTTCTGTCTGTTCAGAGTTGCAGATCACCAAGTAAAAGGAGATGGGATTCAGTCTTAGCTTTGGTTATAAGCAAAATTTGAATTTATCTTTCCCTTAACAAAGACAAAAAAAAAAAATAAATCCACAAAATATAAGATTATGGATTGTCAAATGTTTTGATTGTTTTTCTTAGCAATATAACTCTTATATAATAATTTATAATTGCTTCACCTCAAACAAGTTAATTTTTGACAAAAGTCACAAGGATATATTAAAGGTTTTCTGATACTCTGAAGGTGAAAAAAAAAGGATGCTAGACAAATTCCAGGGAAATTACTGGTTCAAGGTGGAAACTGAAATCTATCCATAAAACCGACAAAGATACAACTAACCCTGGATGCATAATTTGTTGTGAAAAACTGCAACGCTCCAATTTACAGCTGTAAATCGGCCAAGTGCAGATTTGCATGAATATCAGACAAATTCTCAGTTTCTTTCAATAAAACCAGCATTTCCAAATGAAAGATGCATGACTTTCATAGATTATGTCTCATGTAATTCATCCATTGAGCAAAAGTCTTCTAAAAGACTTTGTGCCTCCCTCACTCCCGGCTCTCTGATGGACCTATTTTTACTTTTATTCGGAGCTCTCTCAGATCAACAAAAAGTCTCAGTCAAGTCACGAAAGGTGGATCTCTCTACGGGAGACTCAACGTTGTGACAGTCGCTAAAATGTCAAAGCTACTGTGGCCACTTTGCACGAACATCAAACAAAGTAAGAGCAAAAGTCGACCAGTTTGAGGTAAAACCGCGTTCCCAAATCACATGCTCTTCAAATTGTTGCCGTTATTTAAAGCTGGAATGATTTGCACTCAGTCTGTGTTTGTAAGCTTTATGAAGGCTTTCAGGAGTTTTCACAGCTGTGCTGGTGCAATTAACTCAGAATAAAAGTCTATTCTACTGAGAAGAGCGCAGTGCTATTTGTTGGAGTCAAATCTGAGCCCTTTAAATCAGTTCTGCAATTAGAGTCACACGGCTATCTTCATCAACCTCATTATACAAGAGTGACCTGGAACCAGGAGGGAAGCAGTTCTTCATTACCATAAGATGAATGTTTTATTAAAGTTGCTCTCTTGGCTACAGGTGCATTACTAGCGAGAGCAATGCAGACGATGAGAAAATAACCCCTTTCCACACCATTTCAAGCATTTATGACCTCTGAAAGTAACAATTTGACAGACATCATGAGAAAAATAGCATTCAATTTGATATTAATATGAATGACAAGCATTACCATGCCTCCCTTTCCTCAGCCTGGATATGTCCAGGAATAACAGCACCTAAGTTGGCACATTTACTGCTTTAAATTCAGTTTCCTATAAAACTATATTTTAGAGAAAAATGTTCATTCTGCTTTTCACAAATTTTTGCAACTTTAAATTTTAGGCCTAACTACAGTGGGTGTTTGGAAAATGGAAAAGAAATAGCACAATTATTTGCCTGATTGAAACAGTTCACCCTCAACTTTGCTTAGACTCTCAGGGCACTTCAGCTCTCTTTCACTTAACTTGTATAAATACAATATATAAGTTAAAAGGTGGTATTTTAATGCAAACTTTCTGCATTGGGGATCTTGGAAGTTAATACAGCTAGCTGACAATTCATACTAATAAATTAAAAGAAGAGTTTCTGCTGTGAGTATAACTGTATATTAACACAAAGTTAAATCTGTTGGCATCTTTGAAGTGTAAAGGATTAGAAAATTTTAACCAAATGAATTAGCATAACAAAAAACAAGGAAATATTTTATTGCAGTACCTTGATAACACACTGGAAAGGAAATGCTAACCTTTAAATTGAGTGAACTTATTGGGTGAAGAAAAGGTGTTTTAACAAAATCCTTTCTGTTGTAGCTACTCCCTTTAAAAATAGATGTAACTGAAGCATTTCTAATATATATA